AGGTGCTCTTTCTTTCCGGAAACACTAACTCCCATGGATATGAGGAAGTTCAGCTCTGGCTTCTAGTAAAAAGACAAAGGACGGGGCGCCTGGGTGGCTTAGTCGGTTAAGCGTCCGACTTTCACTTAGGTCATGATCTCGCGGTTCGTGGGTTCGAGCCCCGCGTCGGGCTCTGTGCTGACTGCCAGCTCAGAGCCTGGAGCCTGTTTCAGTCTGTGACTCCCTCTCTCTCTGACCCTCCCCTGCTCACGCTGTCTCTCTCTCTCTCTCCTAGAAATAAATAAATAAAAAAAAAAACATTAAAAAAAGACAAAGGATGATCTCTTTGGAAAGTCAGTAATAATTACTGAAGTCTGGTACTTTCCATACATGATCTTCCTGCCAGGTGTTTCATTATTCCCATTTCTCACAGGAGTAAAATAAGGGGTAGAGGTTAAAAACTGGCCCAAGGTCAGGATGTAGACCCACACTAGTCAGACTCCAAAGCCTGTGCGCTATCCACCACACTTAGCTTTCTAATGCTCATCTCTATCTATTGCCTAAAACTTTAAAAATTAATCTGTCTTGCTAGGAACAAGACATGGGCAACGAACATGAAATTTCTTCAAACTAAGACATAAAATAGCCACAGCATGTACAATCCAACTCCAGAACTACAATCTGGATCTAAATAAGCTAAATGACATTCCTAACAATTAGTCACAGAGAGAGCAGAGCTCCTTTCTCTTTAAGATGCAAGACCTAGTGAACTGGACTTTGCCTCCCCCAAGAAATGCATTTCATTTTAGTAAATGGTGAGTAGATTCCATTCTAGAGCAAACAAAGCGAGTAATGTAGAGTCAGCCCACAGCAGAAAGAACAAGAAGAATTGTGTTGTGACAAGTTACCATGTTTTTAACCTCACACTGCACAGCATCAGGCCAGAATTAGCTATTCCCACACAATTGCCTCATGAAAAGGACTTATTTTCATAGAAACATGGTTGATTAACAGCTGCCTAAACAATGGGCACTTGGTGCTTTTAGGCTGAATGCTTATTTTTTGCCTCCAGGTCCAACTCCCAAAGTGGAGTCCCTCCTTCATTTTGAACCTCCCCACCAAGTACGCAACAAGCTGTAACCAATGGGCCTGACCCTGTGAGACCAGTCGAGGAAAAAGAGGATCTTTGGAATCCAGCATGGCAGCAGCAAGAACTGAACAAGGCTGCATCAGGAACAATTCCAGGGTCAAATCCATTCAAGTCCTGCCCTGGGAGTCTGAGAAAGGGCTGAAGCTTGTTCAAGTTGCCCTTACAGCAAAGGGACTGAAGGATGAGATGTCAAAGGCGTGGGACTGGAAAAGAAGGAGAAGAGCTGGTTAACACTGGAACTGAGGGCAATCTGGCATTGGTATCTGTCACGCCGCTCGTTGCCAGGTCGACTGATAACGAAGTGAAGTTACAACAGGTACCTACCAAAACACATTAGAACTGAGAAAGGAAGAATTAGGATTAATGAAGCTCACCTGGACTAACCAAAAAAGAGGAAAGGATTCCAAAAGGGACTAATTAAACTACCGATTTTCTAAGGCCACAAAACGAAATTCAGGCGAAACCCTGAAATATAACATCACATCAAAATATAGACTTGGCCCTAACTGACCGAATGGAGCTATGAATAGCTACACCATATCTCTAGTGCTTTTTCTGATTTTCAAAGCATTCCCAAGGAAGATCCTGGCCTCCTGAAGTGGTTGTGGTGATATTATAATATGTCCTTCAGTAGAGGAAGAGCCAGAGAGGCGTCCCAGGCTGCACACGGTCCCTAACTCCAAGAGTTTTTTTCCCCCACTAGAGCCTGGCCATTGGCGTACCAAGGTTTTTAAATTAAAACTAATGTATCTAGTTTCCCACCCAATCTCTAAGCAGAATAAGCTTTGCCACTCTGACTCACCAGGAGACACGGGGAAAGAAAGACTCTAGCCTCCAGCAAACCAGTCCTTTCCCTTTAATAGCCAGCAACAAATTCCAGTGAAAAGAGCCACTAAAAGATTTTTAAAAATCTCTATCCTCTTTGGAGGTATAGGGAGGGTTCCAAACAATAGGGTCACCATCAATCAGAGGGCCCGGCGAGGCTTCTCTCTGCCATAGGGATAAGCAGACTGCATTCCAGGTCTGCTTTGCTTTTTTGAAATTTGCTTTTAAAATTTTAAAAATACTAATTTTTTGGAAATAACTTCATTGATTAGGAAACTGCAGGCTGATACCTGGTCTTCTACACTACCAGAAGTGTTAAAAATCTACGTGTCCTCTGACCACGCAGTTATACTCTCTCGACCCCAATTTAGCATCACAAATGCCAATTACTCCAACAAACGGCCAAGAGAATCGTATGGTGTCACACTGGTCTTAGCAGGGCTCAGCATCATGTGATCAGTCAACTTGGGCTTACGATCACCAGTCAACTTTGCACATCTACCGCTCAGCTAAATTAAACATACCTTAAAACACTGCAGTTGACATTGTGACTGACCCCAATAAGATGCTCTACAAAAATCTCCATTTTCTCTCTAAATACTTCCAAGTTGAACACTTAAACAAGATCTTTGCCTTATGCCGATTGGTCTTTTAGCAACGAAAGAGTTACGCAGAGAATTTTACTCATCAGCTTTCATTAATGCAGGATTCACTGGGTGGTAGTTTTTAAAACATCCTCAATGACTTGGTTCTCTATGGAACTGCTTCATGTTTCAGTATTTGTGAATTACTAAAAGAGGGATGAGATGCTTCATCATTTGTACCATATCAGTTCATTATTTAGTTACCTCAGTACAGGAAAAATACAGACTAGCATAGGTCACTATTCTATATTTGCAACCCAGGAAACACTGATTTGATTTTTGTATGACAAAAACATTATCTGACTGCTTTTACTTATTTCAAGTATTTGGCTACAATAATATACTTTTAATAACTTTCAGCTCTCCAAGAACCATTTATAATAGTTTAAATCAAAAGAGATGCAGAAGCTTGAATGAGATCTTTTTTTTCTCGCCTCTTTTTTGCATTTTCTTGACGTTTTCTGCTACTCTTAATGTGGAAAAAACATCTAACTGCTAAAATTACAACTCAGGACAAGATGATTTCTTTTGCTAGCGGAGAGGAGTGTTTCAGGGCCTTTGATTTTGGAGACTATTTTATTGCCAGGAATAACCTTAGAAAAAAGATATCTAGGGGCGCCTGGGTGGCTCAGTTTGGTTAGGCATCTGACTTGGGCTCAGGTCATGATCTCACAGTTCATGGGTTAGAGCCCCCCATCAGGCTCTGCGCTGACAGCCTGGAGCCTGGAACCTGCTTCGGAGTCTGTCTCCCTCTGTCTCTGCCCCTCCCCCACTTGTACTCTCTTTGAAAATAAACACACGTTAAAAAAAAGATATCTACTAACAATAATACTTTACACTGCCCATGAATCAAATATCCTTTATGCATTTATAATTACTAATTCCAAAATGTCACTTTCACTCTGTGATTGTTGCACCCTTTTATTCAGTCAAGTTTACTAGTTGCCTGTTGATCTAAAAATGTCCTCCACCCTTTAGAATTTACGGGATCTTGGCCAGTCTCAGCGTAGAAATTCCTTCCTCCTTCCCACAGTCGGAGACCTCTTGTCTCCAAAGGCATGTCACAGGGCCTGTTTCAGGCTGTACTCTCTCTGACCTCCGTGAGAATAAAGTAAAAGGCGCCCAGGAGCCTTACTTTTATTCCATCTTACCAAATGACTAAATTGTTCTTTCTTTCTTTCTTTTGCAACTATTCTAGGGATGATGTCACAAGTTTTATAGGTGGAAGCCACATAAGACTCGGAACAATTCCACAGATTTAGTGCTTGCTAAACACAAGTGCTATATGCTGAGTGTGAATACAGGCTTCGTAATGGTGCAGAGAAAACAAAGGGTGGGCTCTCCAATGGCTAAAAGAGAGATCAAGATGAAGAAAACTGATTAACATACCAGTTCAAATTGTTCTCTTTCTAGATATTCAGGGGGAACCCTTGACAGGGGCAGGGCCAGAAGGGACCAAGAGGCATCAAGTGGAGTCACAGATACAGTCTACACAAGGCAGTGGCACACTCTACTGCTCAAGCAGGGAAGGGCACCAGGCCACACACTGGCGTTGGCAATATCTTATTCAGTGGGGAGAAAAGCAACCAACTAATCGATCAATCCAGATGGAAATCCCATTAATGCAGGCAGAAGAGACTGTCACATGAAATAGCTGACTCAACCATAATATGTTTATGCTAGTTCCTTAAATGGGAGGTATCACAATCTGTGACATCTACCTAACCTTCTTTACTCCTGGGGAGAGAAGACATGGAGAAACAGCTTCTCAGAAGCCACTCCAAGTCCACAAGGCATTGGCCTTTCAGCAATAGCCAGAGGCTTGTTTTCATAACACACCCCAAACCCCACCATTTTCTATCCCTTGGTTCCCCATTCTGTGAGATCCACTACTTCCCTCATAGGGATATTACTACACAACAAAAATCTAGAACTAAGGAACTATAATTAAGAAAAAAGCTGCTTTCTGAGCTTTTTTCCTTGGGAGGGGGTAAGGGGAGTGGGTGGAGATGAGAGCCAGAGTGGGGGGTCCAGACTGTCGACTGGTATGCTGCTTCCAGAGTTCTCTTGGTTCCTTACTTTAACAGTAGGCTATCTCAGAGCAAACTGCCAGAGGAAAACCTCTCAGGACAGAAACTCCAAAAACAAAATCTAGCCTCCCTGCAAAAACTTAAAGTCATGTGACACTAGAATATTAAGTGTCAGAATTAGACCTTGAAAGTCAAATATTCCTCCTCCTATTTTCATTCTCTAAAGCCTCAAACATTCATCCCCCTGCCAATGGTGGTATAAAACACAGGAACTGCTATTTTGATCTGGATGCGGATGAAAACAAATTGTCAATCCAATAAAATGAACAGACACTGGGATAATTTGCACGATGAATCCTGCTGTTGCTGAAATTCAGCCAGTTTGAAATACCTGGAACGACCTCTAAGTAACTTCCACATCACTCAGCACTGAAGAAAAGGGAGCAAACATTAGTGGAGTAAGGGAGAAACGGGCTCTCAGAGGGGCTGTGCATCAGACCACAAGGCACCTAGGCAGCCGCTGACCATTGTTTTCCAATCTTCTAAACTCCTAGAGAAAAAAAAGCAAAGGCAAGTGCCCAGTACTCAGCTTTTAAAAACTAAAAATACGAGCTTCAATGACCGTACTCATCCCTGATTGGCTAGAATGTTCAACAGCCTGGGTTTTAAGCCAATCAGAGTTCTGGTCGTTGGAATGGACTAGACGCTAGAGCAACTGCCACTCAACTTGGCTCAAATTGGTTGGTGTCTGGCTCTGGTTAGTATGTGGACCTGAATTAAAGCAGTAAGGACAGAGAGACCCTTCCTCTCTGCTCTACCTTTGCTCTAGTTATGACTTAATTTTTTTTTAAAGACTTTATTTTTAAGTAATCTCTACACCCAACGTGGGGCTTGAACTCACAACCCTGAGAGCAAGAGTGACATGCTTTGACTGAGGCAGCCACGTGCCCCTGATTTAACAATTTTGCCACTTGTTAACACCAGATTCAATTAATTTGCTGGTGCAGGATTGTCTATTCCTTGGTTTATCCCTTCCTTAACCATGACTTACTTGTCCTGCCTCCCATTTGTTCACCACTGACCCCACACTTAAAGTATACCAAAATGAGGGGAGCCTGGGTGGCTTAGTCGGTTAAGCATCCGACTTTCGCTTAGGTCATGATCTCACGGTTCGTGGGTTCGAGCCCCACGTCGGGCTCTGTGCTGACTGCCAGCTCAGAGCCTGGAGCCTGTTTCAGAGTCTGTGTCTCCCTCTCTCTCTGACCCTCCCCTGCTCAAGCTGTCGCTGTCTCTGTCTCTCTCTCTCTCTCTCCTAGAAATAAATAAAACATTAAAAAAAAAAAGGATACCAAAATGAAAATGAAGGCTGCAAGCAGTGTTTTCACTGATTTGGGTTTAAGGTCAAAGATAATATCCCATTTACCTTGCAGGCTTACTGAAATGGCTAGCTTCATTTCATGAACGTCAAGAGAAAGTTTAGCAAGACATGTGTCTAAGAATTTAAAACAGAGTGAGGAAGAACAGTTGGGGAAAACGACGAACGCCTTAAAGCTCTCTGGCTATGACCATGAACACCAAAATGTCCCAGGAAGCTGTAGTAAAATAAATAGCACCTATTGCAGACCCTGGGATATGGATTTAGAGTTCAGGGCTTCCCAGCAGCAACAGGAAGAGAAATAAAAAGCAAACTACAGACTTTATAATATCTGGATACTAAGAAGGGTCCTAATGTTCTTGCTTGCATTCACACAGATACGGACCGACAAGATTATCAGATCAAGGAATCAGATAAGGATGTTCTGTCTCCTAAATCTATGGCTTCTGTTGGTTCTTTTAGATCCTATTATCCAGTCATGCCAGATAAACGCTGAGAAACAGAAGTGTTTCCTCGGTGGACGAGCAACTTGAAATCGTTTGATTTTACTATAATAAAGACTACCTACGGTGACCTCCCCAGCCCAGGAAATGTGGCCAGAGAGCCTTCATCCAAGACAGGTATTTATACATTAGATAAAGCAATCAGCATCTTCCCAGGAAAATATAAGGCTTGAAATTAAATTAGCTGAATTGTAAAACCTCTGAAATTCAGCTCTCTGGCTCCGCAAGTAGCTTTATCTGTTCTGGTGGGCAAAGAGAAATAAATAATCTTCATGTTCAGAACCCTGATCTATTTTGGAATGCCAACTAATACATCTTTTATTTTAGCCTCTCAGCTGCTCTGGAGGAAAAAGGACTTTGTCAGAGTGACAAGCAAAAAAAAAAAAAAAAATTGAAGTCCATTTCTTTTCTCTCTAGAGACACTAAAGTTAATGAAAGAAAACATGTAGCCACTTAAAATGCTGCAGCCACGAGGCTCCATGTCTTGAAAGCTCCTCTCATCTTGCCGCTGTGAGACCATAACAATTTAGCAGCAGCAGCAAGCCCTTGAGCCAAGATGGAAGGAAGGAAGGACTCCTTGCTGGACTTTACAAAAACAACCCAAGAGACCCATCAACTCCTGCGTCCCCAAGTGAACTGGTAATAGGACTGTAATAAGAGCCACAAACCTGGCCAAATAACTAAGCAAGCCAGATGGTAAAGGGCATCTGTAAGGGATGTCTCTATCCCTGCCTCTGCTACGGCTACACAGGATTCCAGGACACATGAAAAATGTAACCCCACCTTCCTCTGAAACTTCTTCACCATCAGTCCATTTTCAGCATTGGAAAACCATACATAAACATGGCTTCTTAGCTGATTTTTTAAAAATTTCAGTATGTTTTCCTTTTGACTGGCTCACATAAGTGGTATATAGTAAATATCCATTTCTAATTACCTCTCAAAGAGATCTATATAAACACGTGTAACACAGAAATCTACTTAGCAAAGATGGATCTTAGTGGCCGATGAGACAACTATGCATTTAACCATCAATGACACCTTAAATTCCTTGTAACAAGGCAGAGATTACTTAAGTTGACACCTCTTTTACCAAGTATCATGTTTTTGTGTAATGTGGTCACATTACAGCATCACTCACTTTGGTTTCTTAATGTATCTTCAGGTTCATTTACTATAGTTTTATCTTAGAATATCCTCTAAGGCCGTGCATTTTTTGGTTTTGTTTTGTTTTAAAGAAAAGGACCTGCTTTAGATAGCTTTGAAATAAAACCCAAATTAGGGACAGTCCCTACATCAGAGATCTATATTATGTAAGAGAAGGGTTTTTTTTCCAAATTACTACACATAGCCCAAGTCTCCATAGCACCAAAACAAACAAAAACAAAATCCCAAAAAAACCACTGAACTCTTTACAATCCCAAATAGAGTAAATCCATGCAATTAATGTATGTAAGCTCGGTATGTGCGGGAGTGGGGGTTGTTTCTCGTTTTGTCTCTTTAATGATGCTTAATCCTCAACACCTGAGAAGTAGGTAGGCTGTGAAAACTCAAAAGAACAGAGAGAGACTTAGACTCTTCTGTCTTGCCTTCTCTGATTATCCCAAGGACTTCCTACACTTTGTCAGGCCTCTCAGTTCTCAACAGATCTTGGGGACATAGGCTGTAGTTAAAACTACCCTGAAGCTTGATAACTATTCATTCTGCCACCCTGAGTACCTCCCCATATTCTAACTTGGATAACAAAACACCCTCAGAATCCTGGTTTCGGATCTCATGGATCCAGAATGAAGCCATACAGACAGGGTTGAGTACAAAGATAAGAAAGAGGAGGGAAGGAGACTGAGGACATTGTAGTCCATTAATCTGCAGTTGATAAGGAAAGGGCTCCAGGCTTCCAGAACCATTTCGTTAATTCTCCTTCAGGATCAGGACATGTGTGACTACCCGCAACTGCGTTCCAATAACCTGCCTTAGCTGTAGCCAGAATCCAGAGCGTTCTCGAAAACCACTCACTCAGCAGCTCCCTTGGCTAGTCCAGACTGGCAATCTCGAGCCACTGCGGCTGCCCAGCAGGGCCAACAGCGCCCAAGCAGCTGCCTTCCTTTCTGCTGCTTAACTTAAGAAACAGTCCTGGGAAGAATGAGGATCTTACTCCGGAAGCACGGGAGGGCCGGAGTTTGACGTGTAAAGCACGAGACAAACCCTTCACTCTTCCTTCTTTCTCTCTCATCTCCAACCTCTGGGGTAGGTGAGGGGGCACCAGGTCAATAATGAAGACATACTCGGACCTAGGCTCGTGGTCGCAGGGATACGTTACTGGGGAGAGGGGGTGAGGAGCACACGGGCTTCGGAGATGCAAAGTGCTGACAGACAACAATGCACAGAAGTTAACAAGAGCAGGAGGGGGTCGGGGACGATGTAAGGAAATCGTCATCGTCGCCGCGCAGCCTCCCCCACCCCACAACAGACCTCAGATCCCCTCCGAGACCCGGCCTCTACAATAAGGGCGACGTTCCTCCCTGCTTGGGGGAACCAGGCCGTGCCTCAGCTCTCCAGCCAGGCGGAAGCAGGAGGGGAGGGCCGACCTCCGGGAGCGCCCCTTCAGGGGGTCCATCCGGACTTCTCTCAGATGGGGGGGGGGGGGGGTCGCGGAGGGCGGGGCGTCGCCGAAACAGGGGCTGCATCACAGAAGGGACGGGTTTCCAGGGACCACGGAGCTGCAGCTCGCCCCTTCCACCACCCTGGTACCCGGTTACCTCTTCGCTTCCTCGTCGTCGAGCAGCTCTGGCTCGGTCGCCGCCATTACCACATCGCACTCCGCGGCAGCCGCCATCTTACCGCCGGGACCAAAGAGGCGGGTGGGAGGCAGGCGGTGAAGAGCACTTCCGGCTGGAGCATCGAGCAGCTCGGCGGCGCTGCGCCCAGAGGGGCTCCCTCAAGCCCGTCTACCATCGAGAGGCTCAGCTTGGGGCCAGAGCGGCCTCCCGCCTCCGGAGGTCCACGGTGGTCTCCGCGCCGGGCCGGGGGCCCAGGGACGGTTCCTATGCGTAGGGGGCGCCACTTTACCCGTGGGTCGGAAGTGAGGGGTACAAGAAGGTGATGCCTCTCTAGGCCTGAGCTCTCCTCAGTAGTCTGAGAGCCTCGTTGCCATAGCAACTCCCAATCCTAGAGAGTCTCCAGTAAGGTTTAGGAGAGTCTGGGTTGGGTTGGGGACTCGGTGACCCAGGAGTCTGGAGGGAAAGAGCTCTTACTACTACCTTCCTGTCCTTGGAGTGTGTTCACAGCTTCCTCCCGGGAAAGGCAAGAAGAGACACTTTGAGCCCAGTTCCCCTAGCTTTCATCGGCCCTTGGAAGCCCTGCCCAACCAAGCCAGGGGAACGCAGGGCGTCTTCACCCCGCGCCTTTCATCCCCACTGGATCTCCAAGCAACAACTGGTTCATCACCCTAATGACGCCGACCCTTTAATGAGGCTGCTTTCATGTCAGCTGCCTGGGAGTGCCATCTCAGCATTAAGCCTAGGGAGGGTGGCACGGCGCCCCAGACCCTGCCCTGGAGTTTAAAAGGCAGCTCTCAGGGTGAGGTCCCTGCTCCATAGTGTCCCCAGTACTCATCCTTTATAGAAATACCCTGCTCAGCACGCTTGTCTTGCAGAATGCAGTCTGGACTGGGAACTCGGACCAATCGTAGTCATGGGTTTGAATAAAACTGGGGTTTTTTTGAGGTTAAAGTTTTAAAATTGAGAACTAAAATAAGAAGGGGGCAAGTGAATTTAAAAAGGATCTACTCCTTTCTTCCAGTAAAATAGTAAGTGCCACCCTCAGTAGGCTTCTTGGAGGCCCCCGCCTACCACAGTGCCAAGGGAGCGGAAGCCACACCCACCACTGGGTAGAGAAGGATGGGAGAGGCTCAGTGGGTGGGAAGAGAGAAGTCATTCAACCAATCCATCCAGCCAATCATTCACTAGCCTCTCCAAATTGCCTCCTTGGGGGAGTGTGCTAGATTGGGCGGGTAAAGACTCACAGACCACCTGCCCTGTCGGCCAATGGCTCCCAATCTATGGTCTAAAGAAAGAAGCCAACTTGTCTTTGTAACATCTTCCCACTGTGTGTTCTTTGCAACTAAGCCAATTCATTGACTCCCATAGCTTTTAATTTTAGCTGTAGATGACCCTCAGCTTTGTTGATATTTCCAACCTAGACTTCTCACTTGTGAGTTCTAGATCTCTATATCCAATTATCTACTAGATTACTTGGATGTTTCGCAAATCCTGGAGACATTGATATTTAAGTCGAATTTGTTGGTCTCTCCTCATTCCTCAACAAAAGAAAAAACAAATGCTGTATTTGATTCTCTTTTCCTGAATTCCTAATCTTATCAAATGGGCTCACCATTCAATTGGTCACCTAATTAGAAAGATAGGAGATATCATGAACTCCATTTTTCTCGCTCCTGACTCCTAATTTATCACCAAATCTTGTTGATTCTCCTACCAAATGTCTTCCAAATCTATCTCTATTCCATACCAAGTCAGGCTCTCCTCATTTTCATTTTTAAAACTTGAAACTCTACCATAGTCTCCCAACTGGCCCCTTGTCTCATCTCCATTCTTTACTCTTCTGCCAATGACCTTATTAAAAACAAAAATGACCATGTCACTTCACTGGCATAAAACATATCAATGGCTTTCCACTGCTGTTAGGATACACTTTGAACTCTGACCTAACACACAAGGTCTTCAATTATTTGCCTCTTTCTACCAACAATATTGAACCAAAATACTTGTAGTTTCAGAAAAATGCCATGACTTTTGCCATGCTTCCTTTACTCTTTCCTCCCACACCCTTCAAATCTCAAAACAGACATAACCTCCTCCAGGAAGTTTTCTGTGATGCCCACTGTCCTTGAAGTCCAATGCTTTTTGCCGTGCTCCCATAGCACCTCCAAAATAGCTTTTACCATGCTGTCCTGTAATTGTCGGTTTAGATATCTAGCTCTTCTAGATGGTGGCATTCTCATGAGCAGCTACCTTGTCTAATAACTACATTTTTTCTCAGCCTGTGGTTTTATACCTGGCACAGAGTAGGTGACCAGAAGACATGTGACTAATAAACGATTGAATAAAAGACGTGTCACCGCATTACGGTAGCCTTTAGAGAAAGAATATTTGGGCATCAGAGAGACCAGCACCCTGCGTCCAAGGAGCCTAGAACCGTGTGCTCAGGTGTGCAGCCAGCGCAGGTCCCGGTTTTCTACCCGTCATTCTCCCCTCCGGCCTCTGGGGGCGCTGTGTGCCCGGCTCCTGCTAGCTGCCGCCGGAATTGGCCCTGCCAGACGGAAGCTGGGGGGCGGGGCTAGACGGAGCCTGGAACGACCCGGGAGGAAAAGCGGAGTCTTTGTGGCTGTGCTGCCCCTCCCCTAGTCCCGGCGCGCCTGGAGGGGCCCAGCCGGGGTGCTGCGAGGGCTCCGGGAGGTACGGAGCTGGCAGGCCAGGGTCGGCCACCGCACCCGCGCCGCTTTAGGTGGCGAGTCTCTGCCTCCGATTCTCCCTGGGGGCCCCCTCGGGAAATCGGTGGCGGAAGCCCCTCTGGCAGTCTCTCTTGGGGTATCCTTTCATTGCTGGGCCCACTATATGGGGCCCCGAGCGGGGAGTAGGTGTCTGTATCAGGAGTTTGCTCGGGAGGTCTCTGTCTAGGACACCTTTTGGGAGTGCCCTCTGTATCTGCTCTCTGAGGCGATCCTTGTCTAGGGTTTTCTTCTGGGAAGCCTGTGTTTGGAATGCCTTCGACGAGATCTCTGCCTGGGAGGTTTCTGTGTCTTAGCCTCATCTTGGCTTATCAGTTCAAGGGCAGCACAGATTTTCTCCTTTTTCCCCTTAGATTCCTTCGCTCATTCTTGTGTGATGTTCTTCATCTTAGCCATGGACCTGACTGGGAATTAGAGGGAATGAATTGTTGTCCAGATAAATCATACAGGGAAGCAAAACCCTGTCCTCATTTGCTCACTCTTCAGACGAAGAGCGACTTAAGACAAATCCACACAAAATAGCATTCCTGCTTATTTCTCCGTAGAGGCATGGCTCAAGTCAGGAAGCTAAGCCGGAGCTCCCTTCCACATCCTGCGCACAGAAAGGAACCCGGCCAGTGTTTCCTTTAAACCAAAGACTTCCTTCCTCCTTTATGGCAACATTTACTGAGAACTTGCTCTGAGCCAGTTACTGGTCATGTAGTTGGAATAACAAAGGTGAATAAAGTACAGCCCACTGTCCAGGGGCGGACATAGACACATCACAGCCGTACACCCTGACCAGAGTAGGGGACAGACGGTGCCGAATCCCTGAGCTTCTGAGGTTCAGAACCTGGCTCTCAGTTATAGGAGGTCTGCCCTCTGTTTTCATCCCACCTCACCCAGTGTGCTTCTGTTCTTCAAGGTTGAAGGCTAAGCATGGGGAAGAGCTGCAAGGTGGTCGTGTGTGGCCAAGCATCTGTGGGCAAAACTTCAATCCTGGAGCAGCTTCTGTATGGGAACCATGTAGTAGGTGAGTTGTTGTTGGGGGTAGGGACATGGTGGAGGAATAAGTAGGATTTGATCATAACACAAAAAGGCTAAAAGCTGCTGCTGGTGGTTATTTCCCAGAGAGTGAAATCTACATAATGACCTTAACCCCAGCATATTGAAATCTGGAAAGAGAAAACCCAATATTTGCGATAGGGAGGAAAAGCTCTCAAGTCACACTTCTGCTTAGCAGGGTATTAGCATGAGATTCGTGCTGTTCCCCAAGTCGTCCAGTCCTGCCAGACTGTCGGTCCCTGGCCATCGGTCCTCAGCCCCACATTCCTTTCATTCTCTGGTGGATTGGCCTGTTAGGATATACTCAGTCACTCATGTTTCCCATCCTTCTACAAACAGGTTTTCTCCTCATTTTGTCCCAGGTTCTGAGATGATTGAGACTCAAGAAGACATCTACGTGGGCTCCATTGAGACCGACCGGGGGGTGCGGGAGCAGGTGCGTTTCTACGACACCCGGGGGCTCCGGGATGGGGCCGAGCTACCCCGGCACTGCTTCTCCTGCACTGACGGCTATGTCCTGGTCTACAGCACGGACAGCCGAGAGTCCTTTCAGCGTGTAGAGCTGCTCAAGAAGGAGATCGACAAATCCAAGGACAAGAAGGAGGTGTGTGTGGGAGGGATCCCTTCTCCACCTTCCTAGCCTCATTCCAGCTTCCGGGGCCCTGAAAAACATGTCCAGGGGTGGGGTTAGAAGAGAGAGTGGGCCCCGGGCTGGCTTTTGGGGAGCCTGGCATGGCTCTGTTTTTCATTCATGCCCCAGGAGGTGGGGTAGGAGCTAGAGGGGGGATGGAGGCCACTGGAGGGTGTCTTCACCCCTGCAGGTGGCCGTCTGTTGAGGCAGCTCAACCAAAGAGGCTTTCCTTTAGTTCTAGAGGTTCCTGACCTCATTCTGGAAGCCCCCACTAATCTTTATGATGGTTCCTTGCTCTTGTCCTTCTGCTCCTAAATCCTCCTTTAGGCTGCAGGCACTTGGGGAGTGTTCCCTCGCCAGCTGTTGAGCCAGAAACAGACTGATTGCTGGTAATGAGCAGGCACAGGTGATCCAGGGCTTGCACGAGAATGCCTGGAGGGAGGCCAGATGGAGGCTAGAATTTAAACAGAGAAAGGAGCGCAAAAAGCAACCATCTCCCTCTCCCCAGTCGTTGTTTCCAGCGTACAGAGGCGAAACATTAGCTGTTGAGACTTTCTCTTCCGTTAGGACCTAGTTAGGACTCCTAGGTCGTTGCGAGCCCTCACACCCAGTCCTGAGGCCCACGGTACATCCTCGGGCCTCTCCTCTGTCCCTCTTTTTCAGGTCACCATCGTGGTCCTTGGCAACAAGTGTGACCTGCAAGAGCAGCGGCGTGTGGACCCAGACGTGGCTCAGCACTGGGCCAAGTCCGAGAAGGTGAAGCTGTGGGAGGTGTCTGTGGCTGACCGCCGCTCTCTGCTGGAGCCCTTCGTCTACCTGGCCAGCAAGATGACCCAGCCCCAGAGCAAGTCTGCTTTCCCCCTGAGCCGCAAGAACAAGGGCAGCGGCTCCTTGGATGGCTGATAGAGCTGCCGTCCCTCCCCAACCTTCCCGGCCCCACTCTGGCTTCTGGGGCGCAGGGAGATCTGTCCAGGGGTGGGGTTAAGCATGCTGTCCTTCCCAGGCCAGGCAGCTGGGTTGTCCCAGGCTCGGGTCACTTTTGCTCCCTCCCAGCTGTGGGGAGTGGAGGAATCTAGGTTAGTGTCCCCCCAAGCCTCCCTCCCGACCAGCTCTCCTCACACCTGCCCTCCACGCCCTGGGGCAGTTGTGGGTCAATGTCCACTTCCACCTGCCCTGGACGGGACACTGAGCTGCCATGCACAGGTGCCCAGTCTAGGCTCTGGTTCCTGTCACAGGGGTCCCCCACCTGTGGGCGTCCTGCCAGTGACAGACACACACCCACACACACACTCACTCACACTTCTGGCAGCCTGGACTCCCAGAGGAAGGGCGTCCAGGTATTGTGTATGTGCGTGGAGACGTGTGCACACGTGCATGTGTGTGCATGCCAGTGTCCAACTCTGACCCCCTCGTCTTTCTCCTGTCCTGTCAGTCTTTGGCTGGAAGAAGCCAGCCTCCCGGGAAGTGTCATCTTCTGCTTTAACTCCTCCCCTCTCCCCCATTGTTTTGCTTCTTCTTCCTGCTCAGGGAGCACGAGGCCCTCATTGGCTGAGATGGAAAGGAAGGAAGGCTGGGCTGCCCCAGCTGTCTTTGGGACCCTGCAAGGCCTTGCCTCTCTCTGGGTTTCAGTTTTCTCATCTGTAAGGTGACGGGAGTTGCTTAGATGATCTTCTGGATCCTCTCCAGCCTTCTGTGTGTATAACGCCTGTGGCTTCGGGCTGGCAGTTACTGTACCCTTTGCTTCTCCCTCTTCAAGGTGCTATGCCTACTGGCCCTGGAAGCCAAGACGCTGCTCTCCCCCAACCACCAGGGGGCAGGCGTGTACTGTCCGCTCTAGTTGCCAGAGTGGCCGCCCAGTGCCCTGTCAGCCCGCCTCACACCCGGTGCGGCCTGGTCTTCACCCCTTCCTGTGGTTGCTTTCAGCTAATAGCTGGACTTCTATTTATAAATTACCTGTGTTTATAGGCCTGCTGCCATGGTGAAGGCTGGACAAGGTGCTCCTCTAGCCCTTCTTTACCTCAGATGCCTACACAGAACAAGGCACACTAATAGCAGCTTCTCAGGAGCTGACGGATCTGTCGGGGCTCAGAGGGTGGTTACACTTTCAACACGCTATAAAGTGAGCTTATAACCCACAACTTCCCGTGTCCACTTGGGGCTTCTAATGTGCACACCCAGCATGGATGAGACACCAGAGCCAGGTGACCTCTAGTCCACACCCCTTCTCCCCGAGATGGGAGAGGTGAGCAGGGCAGGGCTGGGCGAGTCGCATTGGGGCATATACAGGCTCGGGCTTGAATTCATTTATTGATGCATTGGACACAATAAAACCACAACTGTTATCAAAAGGTTTCCCTTCCCTCCCCCCTTCTTGTCCTCCTATTGGAAATACCTAAAAAAGGAAAAGATACAGGTAGATACTGGCAAAGTCCCATATTGTGGGGTGACAGCAGTAATGGGGGGGATGGGATGGAGGTTGTGACATTAACTCTGACAGCGTGGAAATGGGTCTTGAGGGTGTGAGCCTGGGTCCCAGCACTCAGCTTCACAGTGAGGGGGCTGGAGTCGGCTTGGGAGGAGGGGCAGCTGGGTTTAGTGTCGGGGACCAGTTTGGGTTGAGGAGCCTTAGGGGAAAGCTCTTCTTTTGGGACCCCTGGGGGGGGTTGGTATTGGCTGGGTCCCTAGTCTGGAGAGACTCAATGCCCCCCCCCCCAGCTGGGGTTCAGGAGCAATCAATGAAAGGCTGAGGAGAGAGCTGTGTGGGGTTGATGACTTCCTAAAACTGGGCCCCACCAGAAAATCACCCTTCCCTCCCCTCTCCCAGCCCTGTCTGATCACAGCAGAGGAACCCCAAGATCTTTCAGCCCCAGCCCCACCTTGGCTTTGCTCCCCACAAAGTCTTCTTTCACTCCTCCAGGGTCACCTTGTCCAGATCACCTTGAACCCTGTCCAGCTTGAGACCCCATCTGCCACTTCCAGTGATTCTCCAGAGAATCCAGTGAATGGAGAGGGCTGCTTCTCTAAACTTCTTCCCGGGCTCAAAGTCAAGATTACTAGGGCCTCTGGCCATGGGGTTCTAGGTCTCGAGTTGGGGAACTGAGAGCACCATGGGGCTGGGGCTAGGATTTTGCATAGATCTTTGGGACTTCTCAGTTTGCTCCCAGTAAATCAGGCTGGGCAATGCAGGGAAGCCCAGCGCTGGCCTGAGGAGGCTGGGGAAAGGGGGGTGGAAGGTCCTGGGCCAGGAGGGTTGTAGTTGAATCCTTAGTCCAGACTGGGCAAAGGGCAGCTGCCCTTAAAACTAGCCCAGCTCTTCCTAGACCGGGCAGGAAGCTCTAGGCTGTAAATGGCAGTCTCCTGGGTAACGGAGAGCACTGAGGCATCTCACGAAGACGAGGCAAGGACAGTGACTGCTGGGCGCCAAGCCCTGCCTCCCCAGGAAGCCTAGTAGGGGGCAAAGACGATGGGCCCCGTGGCAGGGCGGACGGCTCCTGCTGGGGTGCGAAACAGAGCCGGGCCCAGGATGGGAGCTGGGAAGAGGGTGGTGGCTGCTGTGGGGGCAGGGCGGAGGGCCAGGGGCCCTGGCAGAGCACAGATGGCTGCGGCAGCGGCGGGGATCGGGCTGGGCAGGAAGCGGGCCGCAAGTGTCTTGGTGAGTTGCTTCTGCAAGGCCAGTTTTGACTGCAGAGAAGAGGGAGAGGAATGGACACCGTGTGACCGGGGAAAATCCCAGCTCTCCCAGGGCCCCATCCTTAGGCGTTCTGTTGCAGGAAAGACGTGCCTTTTAGGGTTCCAAACCTAAACCCTTCCCGCCCCCACCCCCCAAACATCATTCCAAAAGGCTTTCTCCACCACCTGTCTTCCTGCCCAGAGGAAGGAGGCTCTGGGGGGTGGGGGCAGAGATGGTCTCTAGGAGATGCACGCCCACTCATCACTCTTGACCCTGAGATTACTATCTTGGGCCCGCCTCCCCGGAAATTCCTCTGGGCAGATCCCAAGATGGCCCAAAACCCCAGCCCAACTCACTCTCTGCCCAGGGAGCATTAAAGGGGGAGGTAGCTTCCTTCCTGCCCCACCCCCACCCGTCCCCCCAGCTTGGCCTTCTGGCCCACCCTCTCCCCTCTGGACCTGGGGCCTGGAGACAGGTACCTTGAGGATGCTCACAGCCAAGGCTGCATGCTTCTGCAGCTTACTGTGCTGGCTGGATGGCTTGGGGGGCTTCCCAGCCAGGCGGTCTTTGTGCCTCCTGCTGCTCAGGTGCTAATGGACAGACAGACAAACTGGCAACAGGATAAGGAAGCCCAGGGACCCCTAGATGTCTCTATCCTCCTCCACTAGCTAACCCTCCTCCACCCATGAGTCACACGTTGGACACACACCTACTGGGTATCACCCTGGGAAGGGAGGTGAGACCCAGCCTTGGCCCCTCCAGGAGCCCACTGCCCCTCCAGCCTCGCTCCTCTTCCTCCTCTGGCTCCTTCCTGTCTCCTGGCACCAGCCCCACCCCCTCAGCCCCGCTCTAGCTTCTCCCACCTGCTTGAGTTGGGTCTCTGAATTGACCTGGAGCTGACACAGGGCACAGTGAAAGGGGGGGCTGGGCCCCTGTCGGCCGCCCTGGCCCCCTGCCACTTTTTTGGCCTTGTGTCCACCTCCCCGGGGCACAGGGCGGCCCCGGCCCCTTCGAGGAGCACCTCGCTGACCTTCCACCATCCACCGGTGCTTGGCTCCTGAGAGGGAAGGAAAGATAGCCCGTGAGCACCCAAGAAGGGCTGCCAGGGCTGTGGAGACGCCTCTGAACTAGGTCAGTCTGGCTGCCCCCTGAAGCCACCAGGCTGCTCTGCACATACTCCCCCCTCCAGCCGCCTGAGGGTTCTCTTCCCCCCTCCACCAGGCCTCCCAGCTTTTCTCGTTGCCCCCCACCAGCCTCCCCAGAACGCCTTCCTGCAGGGGAACCTCGCGGCTTCCCTTGGCTCCTGTTCCTCCTGGGTCTGACCTAAGGACAGATGGAGGAGGTGCTTACTGCCTTCTCTGAGTGTTCAGTTCTTGCTGCTCCCAGCTTCTCTTCCCAATTCTCCCACCTCAAGCATTAGCAGGAGAACCCCAAATGCCCACCCAATCACAGCTGAACACAACACCTCTGTCACGAAGCCCTTGGGCAAAGTGCCCAGAAACTCCAGCCCGTCTGCAGCTGTGGAGGGTGTCTCCCTGCCCCACACCTCCCCTGGATTCTGGGGCCACTGACCTGTGTTGTGAGCCTGAAGCTGGGAGGCGGAGTTCACTGTCACCTTGCACGTGGGGCAGTAGAGGCGCCCCTTCTCGCCCCTGCCCTCCCCACTCACTCCGCTTCCCACAGCAGCTGCCGCCGGCTCGGGCCCTGGCTCCTCTCTCCCAGGCTCTGGGGAGCAGGGTGGGCAGGAGGAAGAGGAGGAAGAGGAGGCAGCATCCAAGAGATCTGAGTGAGCCGGCTCTGTCGGCGTGGGGTCAGGAGTCAGTGGTGGCTGGAGTTGGGGGCCAGGAGGTGGGGCTGCAGGAACAGCTGGGGAGATGGAAGGCATCGGGTTAGAATCATCTGGAGACCATGATTTTAAGTCGTGACCTATTGGGGGTGGCAGGGCAGAGTGGAAGCGTCCCCTGGCGTAGGGATGACCAGCAGTGAGGTCTAGACTCCACTCTCCCACCAACTCATGGGGGCCGACTTAGGCCTCTTTAGGCTTCAGCTCCCCCATCTGAAAATGTAGACTTGGACAGAGTGGTCTCAGATCGCCCTCACAGCCCCTGGTACTTTACAGTTATTTGCTAACTGTTAAGTAAGTGGAAGTCGCCAAAAAGATGTGCTGGAATATTCATAGAGCGCTATTCATAATAGCATAAAACTGGAAACTATCCAAATATCCATCAACAGAATAGATTCAAAAAAAAGAAAAGAGAGGGAGGGGCGCCTGAAGTCGGTTGACTTCAGCTCAGGCTTGTGAGTTTGAGCCCTGCATCGGGCTCTTCTGCTGACAGCTCAGAGCCTGGAGCCTGCTTCAGATTCTATGTCCCTCCCTTGCTCTGCCCCTCCCTTGCTCATGCTCTGTCTCTCTCTCAAGAATTAAAACAAAACACCCCAAAAAACATTAAAAAAAAAAAAAAAAAAGAGAGAGAGAGGGGAGAACCTGGCTGACTCAGTCAGTAGAGCAGGCGACTCACAACTCCGGGCTGTGAGTTCGAGCCCCATGCTGGGCATGGAGATTACTTTAAAAACAAAAAATATATACATATATATTAAGTTTCTTTAGCGTTTATTTATTTTTGAAAGGAAGACAGAGCATGAGTGGGGGAGGGGCAGAGAGTAAGGGAGACAGAGAATTCAAAGCAGGCTCTAGGCTGCAGGCTCTGAGCTGTCAGCACAGGGCCTGATGTGGAGTTAGAATCCATGAACTGTGAGATCATGACCTGAGCCGAAGTCAGACACTTAACTGACTGAGCCACCCAGGTGCCACTAAAAACAAAACAAAAAAGTCTTTAAAAAAAGAGAGAGCTTGGGGCGCCCGGGTGGCTTAGTAGGTTAAGCGTCCGACTTTCGCTCGGGTCATGATCTCGCGGTTCGTGGGTTCGAGCCCCGCGTCGGGCTCTGTGCTGACTGCCAGCTCAGAGCCTGGAGCCTGTTTCAGTCTGTGACACCCTCTCTCTCTGACCCTCCCCTTCTCACGCTGTCTCTCTCTCTCTCTCTCCTAGAAATAAAATAAAACATTTTAAAAAAATAAAAAATAAAAATAAAAAAAGAGAGAGCTGTACAGTCAAATGGAGCACTTACACAGCAATAAAAAGGACAAACCACAGCTGTATGTGACAGCACGGAAGAGGCGGGACACAAGAGCCCCATGCTGTAGGCGTCACCAAAACCAGGTGCAACTGATGGATGGCAAGAAAAGTCAGGATCACCTGGGGGAGGGGTGGAAGTGGTTGAATAGTATCACCCCAAAATTCATGTCTGCATGGAATCTCACAATGTGATCTTCTTTGGAACTAGGGTCTTTGCAGATGTAAGTAGCTGAGATCACAGTGGACCAGGGTGCACCCCAACCCAATGATTGGTGTCCTCATAAGAAGACCACATGGAGGGGCACCTGAGTGGCTCAGTCAGTTAAGCGTCCAACTTCAGCTCAGGTCATGGTCTTACAGTTTGTGGGTTCGAGCTCCATGTCAGGCTCTGTGCTGACAGCTCAGAGCCTGGAGCCTGCTTTGGATTCTGTGTCTCCCTCTCTCTCTCTGTCCCTCCCCTGCTCTTGCTCTCTCTCTCTCTCAAAAATAAATTTTAAAAAAAGAAAGAAAAAGACCACATGGAGACACAGAGACACGGGGAGAACGTGATGTGAAGAACAGAGGCAGAGATTGGAGGGACGCATCTACAAGCCAAGGAATGCCAAGTCTTGGCCTCGGGCTCCAGAAGCTAGAAGACAGGCATGGGACAGATTCTCCATCTGAGCCCCCGTGAAGAAACCAACCCCATCGACACTTGGATTTCAAATTTCTGACCTCCAGAACTGTGAGAAAATAAACGTATGTTGTTTTCAGCCACCAAGTTTGTGGTCATTGATTATGGCAGCCTAGTAAGCTCGTCCAACAAGGTGGTGACCAGGGGACCAAGAAGGGCTTCTGGGTGCCTGTTTCTTGATCTCAGTACATTCAGACTGGGAAAATTCATCGAGTTCAACACTTGTGATGTGCGCCTTTTTCTGTATGTATGAGACACCCCAGCACAGTCAAAAATAATAATAATATACCGGGGCGCCTGGGTGGCTCAGTCAGTTAAGTGTCCGACTTCGGCTCAGGTCATGATCTCACAGTTCATGGGTTCGAGCCCCGCGTTGGGCTCTGTGCTGGCAGCTCAGAGCCTGGAGCCTGCCTCTGATTCTGTGTCTCCCTTTCTCTCTGCCCCTCTCCTGCTCATTCTCTCTCTCTCTCTCTCTCGCTCACTCGCTCACACACACACACACTCTCTCAAAAAATGAATAAACATTAAAAAAATAAATAATAATACGCAGAAACCTCCCAACTCCTCACCAGAAACCAGATTTGGGTTGGGGAGAAGGAAGAAAAGTTCAGGACTGACCTTTGCTCTGCGACTCTCCAGGGGACCCACTGGCGGGAGTCGGGGTTGGGGACACTAGCACCCCATCCTGGGCCAGGGTTTGTGGCCTCTGCTTGCTCTTGGCAGCTTCAACAGCCTTGAGTTTTCTGGCATGTTTGTGGCCTTTGTAATGTGCTTCAGCTTGGTTCTGGGGAGGGGAGGGATTGGGGCCACCATTTATTTGCTGATTCCGCACACCCCATCCATAAGCTGGCGAGGGGCAGGGCTCTGGCCAGACAAGAGGTGAATCCTTGTCATCACAACACGTGTGTGGCCTTGAGGTTTACAGAACTCATTCTCATACATGAGCCTCCAGGCAAGCAGCCTCTGGCTTCAAATTCTGTCTCAGCCACTTTATTAGCTGTGCATCCCTGCGCAAGTTGCCTCACTTCTCTGAGCCTCAGTTTGCTGACTCGTAAACTTTGTGATGACAATACTGGCCTTAAAGGATTATGAAAATTAAAAAAAGAACATGAATGACAAAGGCCTAGTGTATACAGCATGTGCTCAACAAATGTTAGTTACCAGGTTCATAAGTGCACAAATGGAAAAAATAGCAGTCCTCATGCTTCGGGTATGTGCACCCCAGAACATTCATCCCTTTGTTCAGTTTTTCAGCAAGTAGTTACTGAGCATTTGCTCTTTGCCAGGCTCTGTGCCAGGAGCCCAGCATGAAAAAGACACGGTCCTTCCCTTGGAATGAGGTCTTCCTGTCCATCTCTTGCAAGGTTCATATAACCTGAAAACCTAGAGGGAACCCCTGAATCTAGCCTGTTCATGTCCTCCCCTCTTCACCTAGGGGTCCCTGCTTGTTGCTTCCAAGCATAGGAAAGACAGGCCCCCATGGCCACTCCCTACACCCTTTCACCAGAGCAGATCTCTCCAAACCCCACAGCTGTCCAGACAGAAGGTAAATCTTCCCTGGGAGGCCAGAATGAGGCTTCTTCACTACCTAGGGGTAGGCGGTGGTAGAAAGTATGTGGGCCTTGGGGTCAGTTGAGCCTGGGTTCAAATCTCAGCTCTGCTACTCACCAGATGTATGACCTCAGACAAGCCACTTAACCTCTCTGAGGCTCAGTTTCCTCATCTGAAAAGTGGGGATGATAATAGTGCTTCTATCCATCAACAAGGTATCAGGAGAACTATTTAAGATGATGGGCATGAAAACATTCAACACATTAACTTGTCAGATGCTTTAAGAACTCAGCACCAGACTAGGAGCGGATGGCGGCCCTTGGGACCCAGAGCAGGAAAGGGCAGTCTTCTCTCTTGCAGAAGGATCCAGAACACAAGAGAGAAGCAGGAGGGAAATGGAGTCCCAGGGCCATAGAGAGGGAGGGAAGAGGTAGAGGAATTTGGGGAGAGGGGAGGGTGGGATGGGTAAAGGACCGGGTGTGCCTCTTCTGCACCCAGGGACAGAAAACATGGACCCCAGTCCCTTTGCTGGCCTTATTCCTCCAGAAAAGACCCCGGAAGCCACTGTCCAGCCCCCTCCCTGCCCAGCCCCCTCCCCAATCTGTTTCCACTACTCCCTCTCACCGCTGAGTTGAACCTCAGGTGACAGATGTTACAGGAAATGAAGAGCTTCTTCTTCAGAGGGGAGGGGACCCCAAACGTGTGGCTGATGACAGCTTTCTGGATCGGGTCCATCTGTGAAGGGGGTGGGAGGGCACAATAACTACGGGGTCGGCTCGGGAAGGCGGGGGGGCGGGCAGTGCAAAATGCCAAAAACTAGAGATTATTGACAAAGGCAGGGATCAGGCCATAGGAAGACCTTCCCCATCCTTGGGGATAGGAGACACACAAAAGAAACAGTCTCTTCCCTGGCTGACTTTCTCTGTCCGCCTGGGTTTCTGCTTAGAGGCAGCAAGATGGCCAGGGTGACCTCCATGTTCGGGGAAACAGAACCCTGTCCTGGTGATCACCTTGGCATCTCTTGTTGCCCCTCTGGTCTCTGTTTTTTTTTTTCCCCTCATTCACAAGAATCACAACTATCGGGACAGAGTTAGAGGCAGGGAGAAGCAGGGAATGGACAAAGAGTCTTCTGTTTGAAATCCTCTCCCATAACCCAGCCTTGCGCTGGGCCCGTGGGCTGGGGGAGAGAAGGCTGATCTCATCAGGTCTGCCACTGTCATGGGGCCTGAGAGGGGGAGAGCAGGGCCAGGGCAGGTGGGGTCCAGGAAGGGAAAGGTGGCAGCACCTGGAGGCCAGAGGGTTCCCCGAGCAGCAGGATTATTTGTTTGGAATGTTAATTTATGTGGGATTTTTTTTTCCTTTTCCTTATTTGAACCATCTTTTTTTCTTCTATCAAACCAAGCCTCATGTTACTTTTTCCCAGGGCCTGGTTTGTTGGACCAAAAGCAGAAGTGGTCTGGGCTTGCTTATCAAGTGGAACTTTCTCAACCTTCCTGAGAGAAGAGAACAGAGGCTTTGTTTTTTTTTTTTTTTTTTTAATGTTTTATTTATTTCTAGGAGAGAGAGAGAGAGAGAGAGACAGCGTGAGCAGGGGAGGGTCAGAGAGAGAGGGAGACACAAACTCAGAACTCCAGTCCCATCTCACCAGCCCGTCAGCAGACTGCTGCACGATGAACTCGAACCCGCGAACCGCGAGGTCATAACCTAAGNCACAAACCGCGAGATCATGACCTAAGCGAAAGTCGGACGCTTAACCAACTAAGCCACCCAGGCGCCCCGAGAACAGAGGCTTTGTGAGAAAAGCATGGCTTCAGAAACTTCCCTGAGAACAGAAAGAGGTTCTAAGCCTCACCTAGCAGCACCTAGGACCAGGGGCAGGCAGGGGACAGGAGAATGGCCAGCAGGGTCCCCAGCAAGGAGGGTGAAAGAAACTTTACCCACTCCCAAGGGACTGTGTGCTTGAACAGTGAGTGTGTCAGCAAGTGACAGAGGGGACAGAGGGGACTGAAGAACAGAGGGCCCTCCCCAAATGGCTCAGGCTTCTTCAGACCTCTGTGCGACCTTGGAGGTTAGAAAGGAAGGGACTCCTAAGGGTGACTGAAACTGAATTTCCCACCATCTTGTCAGGATGGGGTGGGTGGGGCTCCTTGGTGATTACATTTGAAGTTTTAGAATTAAAGTGGGGGTTACTCCTCATAACTCATATAGTGAAGTAACATTCATGCTCCCTACACTCGTCATTCACACACATCCACACATGGAAATACACAGACTGGTAAACACACACATAACACATAAGCCTACAGGCAGTTAAGAATCACAGAGCCATGCAGAGAGATACACACTCACATGCGTACAAATGGCACACTTGCATAGACACACAATAACCCAAACCACACAAACACACACATGCTCAGAGGTCAGAAACACACCAAACACGTACAGAGTTGACACAAAGACACAAAAATCTCTCTCAGACACACAGGCACACACGTTAATTACATACAATGATTCAGGCACAAAGAGATATTTACACACACACACACACACACACATACACACACACACATTCCCATCCACAAGGAACACACAAAGACCCACAGAGGGACGTGAACTAAAATAGAAGGGCACACCACCCCACATGCACACAGACCTACAGAGATCACCCGTAGATGCCCCTCTACAAAAGCTCAAGTGTAACCTACAGACTGCAGGCCCAGCAGTTGTTACTGGAACCATCCTCAATCTCTGGCCTAAGGGAAAGCTGGGCCCAGGGGTCCCCACTGGGGGTGGGGGGGTCGCCTAGTCACTCTTGGGGATGTCGCTCCTACGTAGATGCAGCTTCTGAGAGCCAACCCCTCGGAGCCCACCTTCCCCGCCCACCCGCAAGATCAAGCTCGGCCACAGGCCCCCACCCGCCAGGCAGCCCGTACCGTGCTGAAGTTGGGGGTGAGACTGAGCGGGCTGGCGCCATTGAAGTGGAAGGCGAGCAAGTGCTTGAAGTCCAGCGGGGGCTGCAGAGGCCTGGCAGGCAGGGGCAGGGAGGCCAGCAGGGGGCTGGGGGCGCTGGAGGCCGGGCCTGCTGCAGGAGGAAGAAGGGCAGGGTCTGAAACGGGGAGCCACGGGGCTCCCATCCACCTCCACAGCCAGAAAAAGTGGCTGATGGGCTTCTTGGGTGTGGAGCCGGGGCAGAAACTCCTGTCTCCCTCTTCACAAAGTCGCACTGGCCAAGCCCAGGGCAATCACCGCCCATTTCTGGGCCTTTCCTCTCCACAACTAGGGGAGCAGAAGCAGGGAGCCCACAGTTTGGGCTTTCCAGTCCAGGAGGATGCCCTTCCCATCCCTTACAGAGGTAGCATAAGTACCCCAGTGAATCCCAGCAGGGAGTTAGGCCAAGGAAGGGAACAGAGGAATCCACACACACACACACACACACACACACACACACACACACACACACCACGGAGACTGCGAAATGCACCGGGTTTCCAGTTTATTGCAAGTTAAACCCAAACCCCTCTCTAATCCACACACATTCACAGCAAGGCTGACAGAGGGGATGGGAAACCCATTGGAATCTGAAGGGATGTGTCCCTGCCACCCCACCCCAGCTCTGGTGAGGCCCCAACTCCTCCTAGGAGGCCAAAAGCCCCCCAGCCCCTGGGTGTGGCCTGAGGCTGGTCCTCAGAGTTGGCCCTCCTGCCCTGTGGTTTTACAGTCTTTGGTCTTAAAGGTCTGAAGCAAGGGCCGGGGGAGGCTGGGAACTTTGGGGAGCAACTAGACTTTGAGGAAGAAAAAAATTAGAAATAAATCCAGTCCGTTGAAACTTTCCTGGACTCTGTCACTGCAAAGCCATAAGAAGTCCTTTTCCATTTTTTGTGGGTTAACAATACACAAGATAAGATAGATTTGTTTTACATTTATAGATGCTTAAGTCTATATACAGAAGAGCCTCAGGCAGCCTATCAGTGGGTAGGGGAGAGAGGCCACCACCCCTACTTCCCTTGAACTGGTAGCTTGTGCACAGAGAGGGTGCTGTGCTGCGTCAAAACCAAGGAAATCATCTGCTCTCTCTGGTCATATCTGAAGAGACGTGATGCTGCCAGGCGGGAAGCTAATAGCCAAAGATCCATTCTCCTTTCCCTCAATCCCTGAGACCCAGTCTTCCTTTCTCTCTCCAACCAAGTCTCCTCAGCTTTTCTATGGCCCAAACCTGGGCTGGGTCCAGAGCAGAAAGGGTGAGTTCCTCCTTGCCAAACTCTGGCAAGGGCAGGGGCGATATTGAGGGTGTCTCCAAACCTAGCATCTCTGTGGGTTGGCCCAGGGCCCTTTCCTCCACAGCCCACGGGGCTGGGTTAGTACTCAGGGTGGAGCGGAGGAAGCACGGAGCAGGTGGCTGAAGGCCACAGTTAGGGGGTCAGCTAGGGTGCAGCACGGTCACATCTGACTTGGGGCCCCTAGGGTGCTCAAGGCCCCAGGCTATCTGGGCGTAGGGAAGGAGGCCGCCCTCACGCGAGCTGCGACCCCAGGAGCCCCTCCGCCCACCCACTCTCCAAGAACTCCACAGCCAGCGCAAAGTCAAACTCATGCAGCGGGGGCCCATCCACGGCGATCTTCACCGCTGGGCCGCCCCGGCCTTCCCCTGCCCCGCTCTGCCCCCACCACCGCAGCTCCCGGCTGCGGCCCACCTTGTCCAGGAGGCCGGCGCCCGCGGGCAGCGCCAAGGCCAGGGCGGCGAGGGCGGCGAAGTCTGGGAAGAGCTCGTGCAGCTCGGAGCGCGCGCACGCCAGCTTGGCACACAGGGCCCGCGGGCCGAGGCGCCCGAGGCTGCACACGACGCGCTTGAAGAGCGCGAAGTCGCCCAGCGCCCTCTGGCGCACCACGGCGGGGGCGAAGGCGCGCAGCAGCACCCTCAGTGCCCCCTCGCCGTGCGCGCCCAGCTCCTCGGGTGCCTGCGGGTAGCCGCGCGGGTCGAAGATCGCCGCGAAGGCGGCCACGGCGTCCAGCGAGGGCCCGGGGTAGGAGTCCCGCAGCCCCCGCCGCATGGAGTCTAGGAAGGCCCCCCGCAGCCGCTGCAAGCCCCGCACCGCAGCCTCCGAGTAGCCCACCAGCTCCACGCCGCGGTAGGTGCAGGGGCCACCGCCCAAGTCGGAGCTGGAGGACGCCAGCTCCTGCAGGAAGCCCTGGAGGCGCGCCCCACCGGAGCTGCGCAGGGCTTGGAGGGAGGCTCCGGCTGCCATCACCAGGGGTTGCAACAAGGCCAAGTCCGGCTCCTCTGGCTGCAGGACAAGGGTGAGCTTCTGCATGGATGGCAGAGTGTCCAGCAGCACGTGCGTGAAGGCCACGAAGGTGAACTGGCGCAGGGCGAGGGCCAGGGCCCTCGCTGTGGGGGAGGCTGGGGCAGAGGCCTCCAGTGTGGGCACCAGGCAAGGCCAAGCCTCAGCTACTGCTTCCACAATAGGCAGCAAGGAGGCCCAGGGCACTGGCCGCGGTCCTGCCAAGTCAATAGCTGCGAGGTCCAGTGCCGCCCGCAGCTCAGGGACCATGTGGGAACTAGGGCCACCATGGAGGCGGAAGAGGGCATCCAGCACACTTTCATATTCACTTAGGTAGGCAGGGGGCTCGGGATCTGTCCGGCCAGGGAGGCAGTGTAGTTCGGTGAGCAGTGGGCAGGCGGCCCGCAGTTGTGGGCCCACGCGCCCAAGGCGGTCACTGGGGAGGCTCGAGCTGAGCCAGGCCAGCTTGGGTGCAGACACGCCGAAGGCCTGCAGGATGTCCAGGAGCTGGCCAGCGGTGGCCTCACCCTCCTGTAGCTCCACACTGCCCAGGAAGGTGGTAGCAGGCTGGCCGTCACAGGGGGACACCGAGGTGGCAAACAAGGCCAGACTGTGGGACTCGGGCCAGTCCCTGGTCTCGTCCAACACCAGCCCCACATATGGGGATGCCTTCAGGCGCTGGCAGGCCTCCGTGTGCAAGACACTGGCAATGGCCACCTGGGACAGCCGGGGAGAGAAAGGAAGGGACAGAGTTAGGCTCGTCCTGAGAGGGGAGGCAGCAGTACTGGGGAGAGAGAGGGCACAGACCTTGGGGGCAGACAGACCAGTCCTAGCTTTGCATCTTACCAGCTGTGTGACCTTGGGCAAGTCATCTTACCTCTCTGAGCCTCAGTTTCCTCAGCTCTGAAATCAGACTACTGCCTACGTCTAAGCTCCTTAAAAGGTTGTTGTCAGTTGGGGCGCCTGGGTGGCTCAGTCAGTTAGGTGCCTGACTTCAGCTCAAGTCATGATCTCCTGGTTTGTGAGTTCGAGCCCACAAGCTGTTTGTGCTGACAGCTCAGAGCCTGGAGCCTGCTCGGGATTCTCAGTCTCCCTCTTTCTCTGCCCCTCCCCTGCTCACGCCCTCTCTTTCAAAATGGAATAAATGTCAAAAAAAATTTTTTTTAAAAAGGTTGTTATCAATTACAAATGTTGCTGTCCATCTAAGTGTAAAAACACTTTAGGAACCATAAAGATTCTACAGCATTTGGTGTGTGCTTTGATGGCATTGGCTCAATTGGCCTCATTCCTGGGAGCCTCCCTCCACTCTGCCGCTTGGGGATTAACTGATAGACACGTCCCCTCCCAGTTACATAGAACCCCAACTGTGTGCTCAGGTTGTCTGTCTGTCATCACTCTGTAGGATGAGATCGAACTCCCCTACCCTCACCCCAGCCCCTAGGACCCACACAACTGGTACCTAGGACAGAGCTGCCAGTTGCATGCCCCCTGGGGCCACGTGGGTGGTATTGGGCTCGAAGTGGGCCAGGGATACACCCAAGGGAATGGAGAAGCCCTGGGTCTGCTCTTCCTGCCCTGAGAGCACAGGGACCGAGCATTTCAGAAGTCACAAATCCACATTTTTATGTGTAATCTCTCACTTTTTTTTTTTTTTTAACTTGGAAACTAATTTAGGTTTTCCAAAAGCACTGTGAAAAATCAACAAAATATATCTGCGGGCCGACTGAGGCTCCAGGCTACAGCTTGCAACCTCTTGCGTAGGCGGTGAGGGAAAACCTCCGTGCCCCTGAGGACAGGGCCTGGTCTGGCCTCTTTGAGGCTGTGCCCCCAGCAGCTGGCCCGGGGCCTGGCACATGATCCGCCTCAGTGAAAGGTTCTGCTGGGTGAAGGAAGGTATGAATGAAGTGCTCTGGCTGTTGCCCGGGGGCCTGTCATGCTGGCGCTGCGCCCAGACAGCCCGCTGTCCTCCCTCCTCAAGCCCTCCCCCATACCCCTGGCTGCCACCCACCTGCATGTCCCTCACCCTCCTGGGGCTGTAGTAATCGCCATGCTCCGTGCCCAGCAGCGCCTGGCACAGGTTGAACCTCTGCAGCTCAAGCAGGGCAGAGCAGCGGTCGTCGGGCACATCCTCCTTGGCCATGCAGTACACCGTGGTCAGCACCGCGACTTTGGCCGGATCTACCTCCACCTTGACGCCGGCTGAGGTGGGGGTGGTCGCCAGGTCTGGGTAGGCCCCTCCTCCCTCAGCCTGGCCCTCAAAAGTGGGCTGGCCCCGGTTGACAGCCAGAGCCTGGCAGTGGGCCCCGGAGGTCACGTGGCGCAGCAGGGCGTGGCGCTGGAAGTTGTCGGTGCCCACGGTGAAGGCGTTCTCGGCTTTGCCGTGCTTGTTCCGCACCAGGGCCTGGCGGCACTCGAGACAAAACATTAGCTTCCGCTCGTAGTCGAAGTCCAGCCAGCGGAACTCCTCTTTCCAATGCTCGTTGAAGTAACGTTTGCACTTCTTGTTGGAGTTGGAGGCTTCTCCCGCTGGTTTCTTCCCCGGGGGTACCATTCCTGCTCGAGGGGCAGGGTACCCCCGACCCCTACCCAAATGCTCTGGTCCCCCAGGCTCCCCCCACACACAGCGGCACCTCACTTGACAATGGAAATTGGTGAGGAGGTAGGAGGGGAGCAGCGCGCCAGGCTAATGGGGACCATCCAATCTAACTTAGCCGGGAACGTTCATTCCCGCTCTGCCGGTGGGAGACTGGAGATGAAAGAGACAAGGGAGAGGCGTTAGGGGGTCCGTGGTGGGTTCATGCTG